TTTCGCCTTCACAATGGCTCCCTGAACTTTACCGCAAGTGAAAACAAGAGGCACACTTTTAGTTGACAGTTTGTGCAGGATTCTGATCACTCTACGTTTGGCTTTGTCCGCCGGAGGCTGCAGCGTAAATTGTCGGCCAAAACGGCTCGCGCATCGATCCGGATCCGACGAGGCGCTGTCACCGAAATAGATTTCGATTCTTCCGTCGCGCTTGGTCAGATTGAACAATGACCTCAAGGTTGGCCAAGCTTACACACACCATAGGTGAAGTGGCAAGTCTTCAGGTACGTTCACAAGCTGCCGAATCTCCGTATTGAGATCCCTTACGCGGGGATTTCCGGCATAGGCCTGACGCTTCAGCAGCAGGAAAGTTCGGACAGGGGTTCGCTATACAACCGGCTGGGATGAAGCGAGCTGCAGCAGTAGTGGCAAACCTGCGGAACTTACGCTCTCCTACGTGAACGTCGGTTGGTGTGGGGAGGGCAGAGGGGAAGGTGATTTCAGTAAATTCCGCGAAGCTTTTCCAATCAGCTTTGGAAAAGTTGACTATGGGCAAAGGATTTGATGCTAAATTCAGTATATGTGACCTGGTCTACGAAAAGGGAGCTTACGTGCGAAAACTAGTTTTCTGTGAAAAAGCTGTTAAAAGTAAGCAACTCGTTTCGTCAGTTTCTCTCTTTATTTGTTATCTCGTTAATTGTTCTCCGCGCCGGACGTCCAGTAAGTGTTGTTGTTGGTCCAGTAAGTGTTGTTGTTGGTCGGAATATTATTATAGTTCATCGTGTAAATAAATTATATTTTGTCGTATTTTTACTCTTCTTTCTCTACATTTTTAGTACACTTCTAAGCAAGTTAGGATTTTCTGCTTTTCACCACGTGAAAAAGCATCTCATCTTCCATCCGAATCAACCAAAAAGTGAAAATTGATTTTTTGACACCTAAGCCCCCTTTCCGTAGACCAGGTCCCATATGTAGGTCACCATGTTATGCTGTTTATCAGACCAGCGCTTACAATTGTTATGTCTCACTCTTTCAAGTGCAGGGTTTTATTCTTCTGGTTTGGCTAAGATGATGTTTCAACTATCAAAATATGCCCAAGAGGAGTCCTAACGTGCTGCACATGCGGGTATGATCAGTGTGAAAGAGCTAGTAGTTGACGGAACGCTCTGAGAACTAAAAATGTAATGCCAAAGTTAAAGAGAACCCCAAAATCCATAGGGGCTATCGATTTTAATTTTGCAAAATGGGTCTTTCTTACAAATGTGAGTGCTAAATAATATATAATTTAAATAATTTTTAATATGTTCAACTGATAAGTAGTTAATGGAATATTCAAGTGAGTTTTTTACTAAAGCCACTTTAAAGAAAAAGGTGTAATTATTTTTCGACATATTTCATTGATAAAAAATATACTTTTATTTCAAAATAATTATATTTTAAATGTGGAACTAATTATTGAATCCAACCGTTTATGAAATTTTGTTTTTACATCGCTTTTGTGGCCAAATGATTGTGAAAGTCTTTCTGAAGATGATTTTTTTAATTAATTTTTTTCAACCATTTCGTGAAAGATGCGTACATGTAATGATTTTAGGTGATAGTACTTTTATTTAAAAACATTAAGTACAAACTAAAAACAAACCTCACAGTACTCAATACTACATGAATTTAATAAATATTTTTCCAAATAAACTAATTTATTTTCATTTTGGGTGCGATTTTGGTTTTTTTATATTTTTTTATTTTGATTTCAGATTCAAATTTAGTTACCGCATAAATTCTTAAATACTATAATAATAAGCCATTCTTCTTATTTTTACATAAAATATGGTTCTTAAGACTTTAGCCGCCATATTGGATCGGCCATTTTGTCTTTTTTTTTTTTTACTTCGATTCCACATTCAAATTCAGCGACAACAAAAACGCCTGTAAACTTGAATTCATGTGAATTTACCAATTATTTAAATTATGAGCACAAAATGGGTATAAAATACCACTGTGGGGCGGCCGAAAACTAAGAGGTGTTGCTGCTATTTTGTTTTTTTTTTTTGCTTTATGAAGCAATGCTACTACTGTATATTTTCTTAATAGCCAATGGTAAAGAATTTTTGTTCATTAAATAACTACAATTCATTAAATTATTTATAAATTGAAAACTTAAACAATTTTAGTTGAATGCATCATAGAGAAACAATCACAAAGCATGTGCAATAAAATATCCTTCACCATAAAAGATAAATAGAAATAACTTAAAATTGTATTTGTTTTTATTTAAATTTTTTGCGTTTGCATTTTCGCTAAGCCAACAACTGCTGTTCCTTTTCGTTCATTAGCTTTGTCCACTAAGCTGTTGTTGTTGTTGTTGTGGTTGCTGACTTCCTCAGCTATAGCGGCTCTCAAGTTTACTTAATTCGGCGTGGATATGTTTCAGGTTTATTTTTGGCAACGCTTTTTACTTAGCTATGTACGTGCATAGCTTCTATTTGAGCTACACTTTGCTTTGCCTTACTTAAAGCTGTTGGCTTTAATTATTAACTATGTATTTTAGGTATGTATATACGGTTATTACATCCCACAACGTTGGCTTTCAATTTGCGCGGGCATTGACAGCGGCAGCCGCTGCTCATCGTGTTGCTCATTACCAGTGTACTCGCAACCAAGTAGGCAATCTTCTGGCTGCTCAGCTGTGAGCTTTGTTTAATTGTAATAATAAATAAAATTTACATAAAGCTGCCTTTTAATTGAATGAATTCATTTTGAATGCATTAATTGGGCGCCCGTTCGCATTCACATTTTGGTTATCTTTATTACTTAGTTAGTGTGTCTTGTGTTTTTGTTGGTGGGGAGTGGTAAAGTGTAGGACTGCGAAACGTGAAATCCGCTGTGAAAATATTGACGCATTTTGATAATCATAATTATGTAAAATGCTCATTTTATGCCACTTTCTATGGTTATTTTTTGTAGATTTGTTGTAACTGCTTTTTAAAGGCAAACAAGATAATTAGAAGGAGTAAAGTTGTCGATTAGATGCAAGAGTATGTACAAATATTTTTTTTTATTTAATCTTAGATCGCTTGCAATACTCGAGATTCTACTATACACGCGGATTTACTCAATATATTTCGAAGACGGGTATAATACCGCTAGATTGTGTTCAGATATAGTTAGTTTGATGGAGGCCCACAGGCGGGAATTTGTAAGGTCATATGGTGAGTTTTTAAACCACTTTCCAAATCGGGTTATTTATTTGTGGAGTTTTGTGAGCCATGGTTTAAAAAAAGTACAGGCGAAAATAAGTCTACGAAACCACAGATACAGCCACACATAATGGAGAAAAAATTGCTTTTGACTGGTTTCGAACGAAAGAAAGAGTTTCAGAATAATACATATATCCCACACAGCTCTCCGGAGAACGGACGCTTTTTTCTTCATTTACCACCAGAGCCACGCGCCTTCTCTATATAATTGCGAAAAGGTAGAACATCAGTCGTAGGCATACGGTAAGCAATTTGACGCTTTTGCGAAAACCATAGAGCGAAGCAAATTATTAAAACTCTATAAAAGCGCCCCTTGGCCTCTACTTTTTTGTTAACAGAAAGAAAAAGTTGATTCTGTGTCCCACATAGATTTTGCCTAAGAAGGCCAATCATGCAACTTTTCCCTCAACCGTTAACTCTCTAATGAGCTTTTAATTGATTTTCAGACTTTTTAACAAAATAAGTCGAATCGACTCCTTCGTCTATAAATGGGTTAAAATACTCTAGTGAAATATTCCTTTTAAAATTTTTAAACCTTTTACTCTAAAAATAAAAATTTCACTCCAAGGCATAAAAAAAAAATAAACTAAAAATTTCAGTGCATTTTAGTCATTAGATGTTATAAAAAAAATTAACAGGAATACTTTGGCTAATAATGTGGCAGCGATAAACATATGTGAAAATACTGTGTGAAGGCAAATTTTTTAGCGCAGCCATTCCCCCAAAATAAAAATGTTTATGCATACTCAAGCCTTTTTGTCTCGTTAAGTCCTGTAAAAAAATTAAATGTGTATAAAGTTTTTTAAAACTTGCATGCACGACTTCAAACTAAAATTGTGCAAGATCCTATATATGCGTATGTATATGTAGATACTAAAAAATATCTACAGTCAGCTTCAAAAGTAAGTGTACACCTTTTTCTAAAATAATATTCGCATTTATTTTTATGAACAATTCTTTGCCTTAATAATATAGTTCATTCTATAATATAAAACATATAAATCAAGGTTCCATACTTTATGTAAGTATATAAGGTTCACAAAAACTATATGCAACAATCACAAAAATTCAGAAAATTTTCTTAGCATTTCAAAATTTGTATTACCGTTGATTTTTCAGAATTGTTTGTGAAGGGTGTTGCGAATTTTATTCTATTTAAAAAGAGAACTTGATCATGGAAACTTGCTCCTTCGATGAGGTATCAAACGGGAATTATTCCTACCAAAACCCAATGAAAATTGTAAGTTTCTCTGTTGTGTGAGAATAGAGTCCTTTGTGACCCTTGGGTCCAATTGGTAACAATAGCCAAAACATATTTAAATTACAATATAAAATTCCATGGTAAACAAGGCAAGTGAAAAAATCGGATTCAAAATTTAAAAAGGGTAAATTTTGACCCTAAGGACTAATGAGGATTAAAAGGGGAACTACTTTCTAGTAGATGGGGTCTATATGAAACGAAGAATTCAGTGGCATTCACAGCGAGACTACCAACACTCTAACAAACTCTCGCTCCGTGAATGCCATCGTTGGTGTCCAATCACCACTCACGGCAGAAAAAAGAGCTCTCTCACCTTAGTTCGACCCTGTCTAAAGAGCACGTTTCCTGCGCCTAGCTTTAGTTGAGCTTGCGACAACAATTGGAAGCTAGATGCTGCAACAATAATAATAGAAATAAGTGTTTTGTATACATATATGTACATATGAATGTAGACTTTTAATAATAAATAAGTAATGAGAACATAAAATTTCCACCATAAGTATATTAAACAATATTTTTCGTAGTTAATATGGGTTATAGCAGCAACAATTTTTGATTAGCGAATGTTCGTAACAAGATTTTGCATACAACAGCGAACAGTCATTGTAGAAACATTGCGGAGGACGAAGCTGTGGCACTGAAACGATAAAAATTAAATGCAAATTAAATCTTAGGAATATTTCATTAAAAGGGGGATATTTAAATAAAATCTACATATATCAATATTAATTTCTAATACTGTTTAGTGATATTGTTGTTGGACTTCAAAAGACTAATGCCCGGTTACACCAACCAATTTTAAAATTTATCAGCCCGTTAAAATTGATTGGTGCAACCGGGCATAAGTCTTATTGTACTAAGTTTAAATTAAGAAAGAATTATACTATTTAAATTTTCAACGTATTCCCTTATTGCAAAGTATGATGGAGTGATAACCAATTCACTTAAATATTTAAAAAGTTATAAAAATAAAATCATCGCTTACCGGGATAGTCGCAACAGCAGTCATCGTGCAACATTTTCTGCGAACAATAGCTATAAACAGAAGCATCGCAGAGCGGACAGTTGCCGAGTCCGTTAAATCCGCCACCGCCACTGGTGGGACCACCAAATTGTGGCGGATATTGTCGTGGTATCGCATGGCTAGCAGCCGTCGAGGGAATAGTTTCATTTACTTTTTTGGTTGAGTTTGTTTCCTTTAGTTCTAAATTACAAAAGACAAGCGAGAGTAATAATAAAATAAGCATAAGTAGGTACATGAGTGCTAACAAATTATTTACCCAAAAGTTCATTGCTATTCTGTTCCAGCAGCTCAATGGTATTACTGACCAACACTTGCGTAAGCAGCAACAACAATATTAATTTTATTGTGCTAATATATTGCAACATAACTGACTAGCGAAAAATATTTATTTATATATATATATATATTTGTATGTCGTTATGTATTCGAAAGCTTCCTTAACCCTCTCTGCTGCCACAATTGCCGCTTGGTGTTTATGTGGACTGCTTGCTTGTCGACGTTGCGTTTAATGTTGTCTATGCGCTGCTAAACCGAAATTACGTCTGTCGCAGTATTCATTGCCGCTTTGTAAAAATTCCAAAACTTATGAAACTTTAGCATTTGGGGGACTTTCTTCACTTTTACTTGCGCGCGCACTCTCATCATCTGGCTTGTCGAACCGGCTGCGCGTCACGCAGGCCACTTACTTACATATTTAGTACTAGTTTGTGGCGCCCTCTAAACTGGTCCATTACCGTCATCGTTGATTATTTCATCGATTTGAGCTGCGCTTTTTTTTTTTTTGTTTTTTTTTTGTTTTTTAGTTGTTGTTGTTCACAGATTTTGTATATATTTTCGGCAACTTGTATTGCTAAGTTTATTAAACGCTTTCTTCTGTTTCAATATTTGTCTTATTTATTGTATTTTCTTTATTTATTTATTTGTACGCACGCGTTCGCTCTGGTGTGGTGAATGCGCAACTTTGAGGTAACAGCGTACCTTTGGGCGTTAAAATGAACACCTACACACACATCCATAGATGCTCGTCCACTTCAGCTGAAGTGCTTAATTTTTTTATTGCAAGTGTCGATTTTTTCCACTTCACTGTTTTCTTCCCAACGCTATTGAAAACGAAAGTGAGTCTGCGCAGCAACAACCACTTAAGTACACATTTATGTATATGAGTCAGTTTTTCTTCAAGTGGCTGTCATCTCACTTTCGTAGCGGTGAGTAGCTCCACTAGTAAGTAATTCGTTTTCATTTTCGAAATTTTTGTTGTGGCGTGGGTGTCTGCATATTTGCGATTGTTTTCTCCTATTGTTGGTCAAATTGAGCCAACAAATTTGGGCTTATTAGCGTTTATTAGTAAATTAACATTTACTAGACAGCAGCTTTTTATACATAGTTAGCTTGCTTCTGTGGCTCATTGTGTTTGGATACTGAGGTTAGGTATGCATAAAAAATATGGTGAAAATATCGTCGATTTAAACTTAATAAAATCTAATCTATGTATCCAGATACATGGTTCTTTTATTTCAAAATTTTTCATTCGAGTTTTTTTGTGCCCCCGTTTATACGTGAGGGTTCTACAGGGCTATATCAAAATTTTGGCTAGAACCGATATATGTATGTACATATCAATAGTTGTCTCAGTTTAAGGCAGAATTAAAAAGTAATAATAAAATATTTGGCGCTCATATTTGTATTGAATGTTTGGCCCAGCTTCTCCTCCAACCTATGTTGTGCGCCTTTACGTTATCGCACAAATGGAGTTATTTACAGTGTTTCTTTTTATGAAAACCAGAAAAAAACTGAGGTTGAAGAAACGTTTTGCAAGTCCAGAAAAGAGCGAAAAGACCCTAAAAACCTTTTCCCCAGGCATAAATGTTCTCTTACCAGTCATGCATCATAGTCCATATGGTTGTAGGTATGCATTAATCTAAATTATGTGCCAGCATCATAGAAAACTTCAGGAGTGGCTTTTCTGCCAAAAGCAGGAAAAAATAGCCTTGTATACCCGCACGATTTTAGGTCTATCAGCATAACATATTTTCTCGTAAAAACTTTTGAACGGTTTACTTTGTTTTAGTGCAGCCAGTTCTGAAGAATGAAATAAGACCTCGGTACAATGCCACTTGAATGAGGTCCGGCGGAAAGTACATCGAGGTACACCTTAAAGAGAAGTGTTCTCACCACAACATAGTATATTAAAGGCCAACACCAACTCGGCTGCAGTAGCGGGACTGGGCATTTACGTAAATTAGACTAAAAGATTCCAGTCTGAAACAGACTTAAATTAGAGTAGACCACTCACAACTAAAGCCGAGCACAAAGTACCTTGGAAACGTACTGTCTAGCAAATTGTCGTGGAAATTCATTGTGGAAAAAGGGTTAAAGACAGATAATGTAGTCTATGCTTTCTTAATGGCAAATCACCGATATGAGTAGGTCAATTACTTATATATGTGTGTCAGTAATGAGAAATAATTTGTATCTAGACATATCATAATATGTAATTATAATATCATAATATCTAATGTTTTTTGCAATGAAACCGAAACATCAACAACACTCATTGCAAAAGAAGATTAGACGTTCAATGATAGCTTCAAGGTTAGTCCTTTTATTTAAACAAGAAAAAGGAAAGGGTGTAAAAAAAGAGTAATAAATAGTTTAAAAAAGGAACAGTCCAGCGCCTTCGTTTTGGCCTGCAGGCTGTATCGGAGATACAGCCGCTAAATTTAAACGTAGAATACGTGGTATGGTTAAGAGCATATCCAAGTAAAAAAACAAAAGCACACACTAAGCAAAAAATATCGATAACAAAAGCGATAATAATATCGGTAGCAAAATCGATAAAAACATCGATAAAGAAATCGATGAAAATATTGATATCAAAATCGAAAAAATATCGAAAGCAAAATCGATAGCAAAATCGATAACAATACTGATTACAAAATCGATTACAAAATCTATCAAAATATCGATTACAAAATCGATAACGAAATCGATAACAAAATCGATTATAAAGTCGATAACAAAATCCATAACAAAATCCATAAAAATATCGATACCAATATCGATAGCAACATCAATAAAAATATCGAATATAAAACCTATAAAAAAATCTATAACAATATCGATAGCAAAATCGATAAAAATATCGGTAACAAAACCGATAAAAGTATCGATGACAAAATCGATAGCAAAATCGATTACACAATCGATAACAAAATCGATAAAAAATATCGATAACAAAATCGATAAAAGTATTGATCATTATATCGGTAAGTTCCGAAAATATCGATAGCAAAACCAATAACAATATCGATAACAAATTCGATGAAAATATCGATAACGAAAGCAATAATAATATCGATAGCTAAATCGTAAACAAAATCAATAAAAATATCGATGACAAAACCGGTAAAAATATCGATTACAAAATCGATTAAAACACCGACAACAAAATCTATAAAAATATCGGTAATAAAATCGATAACAAAATCGATAAATAATCTATCATAAAATCGATTACAATGTCGATAACAAAATCGACAACAAAGTCAACAAAATATCTATAACAAAATCGAGAAAAAATATCGATAACAAAATCGAAAAAATACCGATCATTATATCGATAAGTTCCGAAAATATCGATAGCAAAATCAATAACATTATCGATAAAAATTTCGATAGCAAAATCGATAAAAACATCGGTAATAAAACCGACAAAGTATCGATTATTATACCGATAAACCCCGAAATATGTACTTACGGACACATACATACTTTTTGTCTCCTTCCCACGCTTCCAATGCGTGCACGTGTTTGCAAAATGATGACGAGGTGATTTTGTATGGAAAATCATTTATGCCCATATATTTGAATAAAATAAACATATATAGAAGATATCAACCAATACTTCCCATATAC